CAAACCTAAAAACAGATGATTAAGAAAAACCACGAAAATCCAGAAATCAAAGATCTCCAGATAATCAGGAACAAAAAACTAAACCATCAACTTATTAATGAAAGAAAGAAGAAAAATAAAAAGAAATAAAGAATTGGGTTGCCTCCCAATAAGCGCTTCTTTAAAGTCATGAGCCGGACTTTATGGCTAATCAATCAGGTGGACGCTTAATCAAAGAGTGTGAAACTCTTTCATACATCATTCTTCTTCCATTTCTATCTGTGCCTACACCACTGATACATATGTCTGGAGGATCTTTAGAATTAGCAATGAAAACATCAGTTTTATCTAGCTCCTCAAGAATATCTATCCTAAACACATGATGAGTAAATGCAGGGCATTTGTAATTTTCAGAAAAAGTGAACTCCACGAATTCTTCTCCAATATGAAATTTTAAACTCCCTTTTTTAACATTTATAACAGCACCAGCTGTGGCTAGAAATGGTCGACCTAAAATAATGGGCACATTAGTATCTTCTTCCATATCTAACACAACAAAATCAACGGGGATATAAAATTTCTTCACTTTTACCAACACATTTTCCAAAATCCCTTTCGGATGAGTTATAGATCTATCAACTAACTGCAAAGTGATGTTAGTTGGTTTAAAATGTTTCAACCCAAGCTTTCTACAAACAGATAAAGGCATTAATGAAACACTAGCACCTAAATCACATAAAGCTTTATCAAAACAAACATCACCCATAGGGATAGAAATAGAGAAACTCCCTGGATTACTCAATTTTGGAGGCAACTTTCTCTTAACAACAGCACTGCACTCCTCAGATAAAGCAATTGTCTCAAAGTCTTCCACTTTCCTTCGGTTGGAGATGATCTCCTTCAAGAACTTCCCATAAGCAGGAATCTAAGCTAAAGCATCTGCAAAAGAAATGTTAATATGCAATTGCCTAAAAATTTTCAGAAATTTCTCAAATAGCTTATCTTGATTGGTCATAATAGAGTCTCTGTGGAAAAGGCACTGGTGGAACATAAGGTTTAAGCGGTGGTGGCACATATATCTTTTCTTCCTCTTGTTCCACTTTCTCCACTTTTTCTTCATCACTCTCTTTACTCTCTTCTTTCTTCTCATCAGTGGTCACATTCACTTCAGTGGTCTTTGGTTCCTCTTTGTCACCCAACTGCTTCCCACTTCTCAACATGATAGCACTATAATTTTCATGAGGGTTGATTTCAGACTTGCTTGCGAGTTGACCTTGCCCACGAGTACTCATGGCGGAGGCCATTTGACTCACTTGCATCTCCAAAGTTCTATGAGCAGTACTCAATTGATCTAACCTTGATTCTATTCTATTAGATCTCTCCTTATTATCACTCAACAATTTCTCAATTCTCTCCAAACATGACTCCATTGCTGGCTTAGGTGCAGATTGATATGACTTTGCTTGGAAACCAGGAGGGTTTTGAGGTCTTGCATTAAAGTCTTGAGCTTGAGCCCCTTGATTACTCCAAGAAAAGTTTGGATGATTTCGCCAACCAGGGTTGTAAGTATTGGAGTAAGGATTGTTCTGCTGCTGAGGCTTGCTGAAATTAGAAACATATTGTGCACTTGCTAGTTGCATACATTCAGAGCTCAAATGAGGACCTCCACAGAACTCACAGACAGTGGCATGGAAGACTGCATTAGCATTGACAAAATTACCCATCGCTTTGGTCAGTGCATCTATCTTTGCGTTCATCGCACTAAGTTCATTGACTTCATACATTCCAGCAGGCTTCTTGGAAACACTTCTCGAGTTCGACCATTGATTCCTATTCTTTGCCATAATTTGAAACAATTCATAGACTTCATCAATTGACTTATCCATTAATAAACCTCCAGCTGCAGCATCCACATTGTTTCTTGGAAAGTCTGTCAATCCTTGATAGAAAGTCTGAACAAGAGTACTTTTCTCAATACCATGGTGAAGATATCTTCTTTGAAATTCCTTGAATCTTGTCCATGCAACATGAAATGTCTCATCATCTTCTTGAATAAACCCAATAATTTGATTTCTCAGTTTCGCTGCCTTATCTGGTGGGAAGAAATTGATCAGGAACTCCTTGTATAGCTCATCCCAAGTTGTGATGGAACCAGGATCGCAAGTATTCAACCAATTCTTCGCTTCTCCCCTCAGCGAGAAAGGAAAAAGTCTTAGCCGGATTGCATCTGACGTCACACCATTTATCTTAACAGTATCACAGATCTCTAAAAAGTTGTCAATATGCGCATTTGGATCCTCATTGTTAAAACCGGAGAATTGATTCTGCTGCACCATCTGGATCAATACTGGCTTGAGCTCAAAGATATTCGCAGCAATCTAGTAATACTTGACCTAGCAACATTCTCCATAGGTGTGAAGTAATCCCTCAGTGTCCGAGTGTTTTCTCTATCACCCATGGTTTCATTCCGATTCTTCTCCTTTATTAGTTTTGCTTCTTTTCTGTTCGCACGAGCTGTTCTCTCGATCTCTGGATCAAATTGCAAAGTCTCAAAATTAGCACTTCGCATATAAAAACAAGACAAAAATATTTGAAAGAAATAACTAAAATAGCAAGAAAATAAAATAAAATAAAACAAATCTAAACTAATAAAAGAAAGTAATCTGAATTTGATATTAGCTGCCTTCGCCGGCAGCGACGCCAAATTTGACAGGCCATCGTTACAACTGGTCAAATAAATTCACCTACTTAACACTAGTATAGCGGAAAATAGGGTCGTACCCACAGAGAAGGAATACTAATTACCAGCTATAAATTACTCCTATTATTATCTAAATAAATGATGATCTCAGATTTTCAATTAAAATAAAACTAAAGCTAGAATCTAAAATATGCAATTACTTTCAAAGGTTGAAACAATCAAGTTGGGAAAACCTAGGACATTGGGGTCACCTACCGAATATTTAGTTTGGTTCAATTCATAAGTATTTGACTTTTAACTTCCATTAATCTCACAATGACTCACCTAATTAAGAACTATACACTCTCGTGTTGTAATTCTCTTACTTAGATTAACCCTATGACTACTCTTGTGACTATAGGATTAACAAAAGCACATTAAGACCATTAAGAATCAAACATTGCAAAGATTATAATCTTACTCTCGTATCTTACACCCTAAGTCTATTATTCCTACGAACTAATACTAATCTTCCACTCTCGCTACTTCGATTAGTATCTTCAGACATGCAAATAGTGGCCAATTACTTACATGAATTAAAACAAGAATAACAGATATTAATTAATGTAAAAGTCAAATAATAATGAACCAAATAAACTAATTAAATCCGGCGGCTACATCCAAGTCCTAAGTTAAAAGAATTTAGCCACTAAACATTATCAAAAATAATTCAATAATATTTGGAGACATAATCCTGAAAATCTGAATTAAATAATTAAAACAAAACACCCGGATGAAGGCAAGAACCGCCGAAGAGCTCGTCGGTTTTGCACTTGCGGCTGCTGCTTGCTTCGGATTTGGACACTTCTGTTTCTCTCCGCTGCAAGAAGCTCAAGGAGGCTGCTGCCGGTTTGGTTTTGAATTGATGCGTGAGGTAATGGAGAGTTGATGGCGAAGGAGATGATGGTTTGTTAATGCTGCTGCTACGTGTGGTGGTGATGGAGAAAGCTGCCGCCGGGTGGAGCTGTGTGGGCAGGAAGCTGGTGGAAACATGAGGGTGGTGGTGTGGTCTCGGCGGTGGTGCTGATTAAAGTGGTGCGTGGTAGTGGAGGAAAGGTGATGGAGTAAGGATGATGATTAAGATGGAGGAGAGGTGGTGGAGATCGGCGGAGGTGATCAAGGAAGCAAGGTGGAGTAGCAGTGAGTTGCAGCGGCGGAGGGGGTTTTCAACCGTGAGGGTTTCGGTGAATTTCCAGTCCAGTTCGGTTTTAAAAATAAAATCCTAATCTTCCTTTTATAGGCTTCCGTCAAACCCTACTACTCGGAGAAGAAGAAAACTTGTTTCTCCAAATAATATTGGGATTAAAATTCTTACCTAATTCAACTCCAAAAATAGCCGCACCACCTTGTTTCAGCCAAACCCTACGAAAAAAATGAAAATTGTAATTCAGTCCTCTAAATTTTCAAGTCTTCTGATTCCCTCCTCATTAGTTCTTACAATCTTCACTTAGGCCCTTTTTAATTGCTCTTTCTTTTCAATTTAGTCCAACACCTCAACAATTCTTCCATTTGAGTACAATTCCTACAATCAAAGATTAAATCATATAAATAGCCTATTTGTACTCAAAATAGTAGCAAAAATCACAAATTAGGGATATAAAGGTAAAAGTATAAGCATATCACGGTGGCACCGGCGGACGGCGCTCCCAAGAGGTTCTCTCGACGGCAGGAGAGCTTTTTTTTTTTTTAATAAGAAAAAAATAGGGCAGCAAATATACTAAACCGTATATAAGTACAATTTTAATTGTAAAGTAAATTTGAATCCTTATTCAATCTAGCTGATCGACGAACTCGAACTTTTACTTTAGCCTTGGCTTTTTTCGATTGATTGTGATATGTTGGAACAGAAACTTCACTATAAAAGGAGTCTTGTTCCATTGCATATTTTATATCGAAATCTTCATCACCAGAACCATTGGAAGCATAATTTAGTTCTCTTTTGAAATTTATTTCTTCAATCAAATAACTTGGGTTAAAGGCCTCGGTATTCTTCCCGACCTCCGTATCATCTTTGGATACTGGTAGTGATTTTTTGCCATGATTGGGTCTGAAATTGCAAGTAAAACTTGAAGAAGAGATACTTGTGGTTAGGGGAGTAGGAAAATTCAGTAGCTGCGAGATTTAATCTTTTTGTGGAGACGCTATTAGAGCTATTTTAAGAAAAAGAATCTTCATTATCAGGGGATAGGTTGCGTACAGTTTGACTTCAACCCTTCTTCTTTTGAGACGGAAACTTCCGGATCAGATTGGGGAGCTGATTTCGACTTATCCTCGTTTAAAATTAAACAATCCGGTTAGAGGGAGTCTGCTGCGTTGATGACGCTGAAGTCGCGGGATTTCGACAACTGTGGTTTCCATCAGAAATTGCGGGATTCTGAGGTAGCGAAATCAGGGGGGTACGCCAGATTTCCTCTGCCGTTGATGAAGATGACCGTTGATTATCTTTCGGCGATGAGAGATCATTAATTCTTCGGATTACGGATGGTGAATTCTCAGCGGCAGCGGCAACCTCTTCTGATGCTTGCTTTTCAGGAGAAAGTTGTTGGTTTGTGACGGCGATAACAAACAGGGTTTGGTATGTCGCATCAATTTTTTGGGGCTGGCCATCAATCGAACTTGATGGATGAGATGATGTTGATTGGTGAGCAATAATTTCAGCGGAGCCTCGTTCATCAGCGGCGTCTTCAGCAAGATTTTGCGCTGCTTCATCAGCAACACCCTCTTGCGACAACTGCGGCAGTTATTGCAACAGCAGATCTGCGACTATTGAAGGGGGGAGATTAGCGTCGGCAGCAATGACGTTCTTCAGGGGCTGCGCGACAGTTGAAAGGGTCAGATTAGGGTCGACCTCAATGACTTCCTTCAGAGATTGCGCGTCATTAGAAGGTTGATTTCCTCCCATTTTTTGGCACCGGTTTGATTAAGCCTGCCGATTGCTTCCCTTGTGCTTGCTGTTTTTGTTGCTGTTTTGAAGGCTGCGACTCTTTCTTTTTTGATGATGATGCTCGTGTGTTGTGTTGACAGGATTGAAGATCGTGGCCAATCTTCTTACAATCAACACAATATTGGGGCATATTCTTATAGAATAATGATTAAAAATAAGTCACCCCTTTAACTTCCAGTCTGATTCGAATAGGATGCTCCTTAAGAAGATCCAATTCTACACAGACTCGTGCCACAGATAGTCATGACATGTTGAGCATTGGGACGTCAACTTGAAGAGGAGTTCCAATGATACTATCTAATTTCCACAAGAATGCCTTGTTGAACCGGTGAATGGGAAGACCTTCGAAGGAGATCCAAATTGGGATATTGGAACTTTCGTGTGCTGGATTAAAATCTGTTGTTCATTTTAGAATTCGCATACGATGCGAATCAAAGGTCCATAGACTTTTTAACCAGCAACGATGAAAGTCTTCTTATAAATCGAAGCATATGAGGATATGTCGGGAGTCGATTGATCCAAGATAGAAGCTTCTTTTGAAACCGATTGTTTGATATTCTCTCCGTAAGTAGTCCATTTTCGGACGGCCTTTAGTGAATTTCCCTACAAGCGCTAGACGGAAGGGGGCAGCCAATTGATCATCCTCTTCTTTGAAGAATAAAAGTTGGCTCACCTTTAAATATCATTGGTTCTGAATGAATCTCAAGTTGATTTAGATTTTGATTTTTGAATGAGTGATTTTGTATGTTTTTTGGATTTGCCTTTCCCAAAATCTGAGCAAACGATAGTTTATGTGGTTGTGTAGGGTCTATGGCTGGCGGTCCGCCGGCCATGGGCGGAAGGAAAGAGAGATGTCAAAGAGAAGAGAGAGTGCTAAGGGCAATCCATATTGGCCATAATAGTATTTGCCCATCCCAGAAAAATAATCTATATATTTATATTATAGACGTAAATTGCTCTGTTTTTAGCATGATTTATAATGTTATTCTTAATAAGGGAATTCAGTAAGGCCAAAACAAAAGAAAACCTACGGACATTCTAGACATATCACATTAATAATTAGGGTTATAGGACATGTACATCTTCTTTTATAAACTCGGCATTATACATGAAGAAGAACGGCGGCCATTGAATTTCTGCGAAGTTGGTAGTTAAATTTGGATGCCTTTATCTTCTTCATTGCAGGTGTCCTTCTTGGTTGTGCTCTTCCAATCATATGCGCATACTTTTCAATATACTTTTCAGAACTTTTTGAACAGAAAGCAAGTGGTAAATTATCAAAGATCAATTCAGAACTTTTTTTAGTTTTTATAAGTTGTGAAGATCCTACTAACTATGCATCTTATATGAACACAACTTGAAGTCCCATATAAGCCTACATGTGATTCCACCTCAAAACTAATTGGTAAAGTTGGCTTCCCAACTTTAATGTGGGACAAGTGTCTTTCACTTGTTTTCAAATTCAAAAGGGATGTTAACAAATAGTGCGGTGTACATATCATGTCCGTTCATTTCTAGAAATCGGACTATTTCGTCAAAACAATTACACCTCCACGCATCACAAAATCCAAATTAATCCACCCCGTGCATTATCGTACTGTGAAGCATAAAGTGTCCCTACATTACAAAATCCAGTTTCGCCCAATTATTATGGTGATTGATTGATGATGTTGAAGATTCTCAAGAACGTGAAGAAGTAGAATCTGTCAGAAGTCACAATCAGAATCTGGGTTTCTCTGCTTCTGCTACCTCATAAAGATCGACACAAAAATTAACGTCCAATTAAGGCGTGATAAGCTATTGTATTAAAACCACAATGCCTTAAACATGGCTGCATCTCCGAAAAGGAGCAAACACCAGAATAAGCAACATGTTTATTCAATCACACTACCAAATTACAGAAACGATCCCCAGATGATCAGTTGTTCATAGAAGCTAGATTACTTATAAAAATCAAATTAGCCAACAAAACCAAAATTCTTGGTTCAGATTTTATTCAGTGATCAGTGATCATAGCAGCAGCAGCATGCAGTACTTCAGGAATCCTGGTTGAGCTTGATCTCCTTATCGCCGACGATGATTCCGTCGTGGCTGATGGTGAGGGTGCCGTGAGGTTGAAGCCAGTCCATGCCTAAAACCACATGTCATAGGCCCTCAGGTTGACCACCCTGGGATCAGCCTCAAACTCATGGCCCTGAACTTTCCACTTCAACCTAGGGCATCGGTGCTGGCTCACCGCCTCGTACCCGAGCCCGGGAACTTCACCAGCAGCGGCTCAGCCTCCTCAATCTGGATCGCAACGGAAGAGTTAATGAAGCTGTACGCCACCCCAGTGGAGATCAATACTGAGATTTTGCGATCTCCGACCCAAGCTTCGAACTTGAGTGGGTTATCAGCTCCTATGTACACAGCCACTTTCTTAGTTGGCAGCTTCGCTTCACCATTTGAAGTCATATTCTTCTTCTTCTTAGGATGAGAAACTATAGAAGTTAAGCAGAGGAGAAAACAGAAGTGGGAGTAAAATGGTCTTAGCTTCTGGAGTAATATTTTCAGTAGGACAAGAAAATGAAAACTTTCAATATTCAACTCTAAATTCTCTGCTCTGAGAATAACGCAAAATTTTGTAGTTCATACAACAGAGTGAATATGCGCGCGCAGATCTAGTCAAACATTCGGTAAAAATAGTCAGGTGAAAATAATGGAACCCTTTACTACCCTCCGGAAAAAAAAGTGGAACAGTAAACGAAAAATTAAAAAATTAACAGAAAATAAAGAGGATGGCCGGAGAAAGAGACTCAATGGGTCGCCGGAGAGAAGAGTTTATATGGTTTCAAATTTCAATTGCACGTATGAGAGTAATAATACTCTGTCCCTTAGATGCGTTATATATCTATCAACGTGAATAGAATTTTTAACTTCAGTAAATATAATGCAGTAAATGGTTATAGCAAATGAATATCTCTTTTGCAAGAATATTTTGAATGATAAAAGTAAACTATTTATATTTTATAAACTAAACTGTTGACCGGTAAAAATAAACCTATTAGATTGAAAAATGAAAATACCGAAAAAAAAAAAGAGCTAAGATGTTTGATTTGAAAGCATACATATATTTCTCAAAAACCATGCGTTTGGATTAGTTTTGGTCCCGACTTCCAAAAAATTGTATTTGTTTTGATAACGTTGATAAATTTGCTGGCTCCAGGCCTCCAGCATTGATTACATTAACAAAAATAATTTAATAAACAAAACATACATAAGATAGTGCAGCTATGTCTAAAGCTTATTGTTGGACCGATTTTTGATAAATCTGGTCCACATGAGAATAGACCGATCGCAGCACTTTAATGGAGGGAAAATCAGTTTGAAGCCCGCCTTGGTTAAACTTCGTGGATGCAACAGAGAGCGAGGAAGCCAAATCCGAAAAGGAGTCAATGACGCGGCAGTCCATATCGAAGAAGGATTTCAGTTGCAACAGAAATCCTTGCGGAATTCGACTTCTGTTGCAACCTAGCTAAGGTTGGCAGAATCAGTATAAAAGCTATGAATGAGGCAACGGAAAGGACACAACTGATTATCCAAGAATCAGAAATCATATTTTCCTTTATAGCTTTGTTCTTTGCAATTTTAAACTTTTATGTATTTGTTTATGTTTCAGCTTTAAACGTTGTAATCATTTTGGCGATTCAGGCTATTCAAAGCCGATTCGTTTTCATTCAATTAATAAAACAGGCTCTTGCAAGTCGTTTTATTCTTTCTTAGAATTTCTCATTATTCGGTTCACCCACTGTCTTATAAGTAAGATAGAAACAAGTTTATTAATTAAGTATAAAAATGTTAACGATACATTTGTACTATATATATCATTTCTCTACTATACAAAAGAAAAGAGAATAAATAAACTTACAATATCATTCCATTTCACTGTACAAAAAGTTTCATTATATATATATATATATCATTTTCTAAAATTAAAATTTGAATTTTAAGTTTTGCATCTCTAATTTCTTTCTAATCATTGGACATTTCAATCACTTTAACATTTCTTATACTCAATCGTGCGCTAAAAAAAACCAAACAAATTTTTGAATTACATAAAGGTATTTTTTAAAATTGAATAACTAAGGCCATGTTTGGAAGGTTGACTTTGGAGTACAAATTATGGAAAACTAATGCGCTATTTATGAATCATTCGCGGTCTATTGTACCCTAATTTAAATTTTAATAGTTGTCCAATGGAGACGGAACAGTTTGATATTTGGTCTATTTGTTTGACTTATGATGTTGGATCAACTAAAAACATAAAGGACTAAATCAACTCGGATACAAACATTCAGAACTAAAATGAGATATGAAAAATACTAAAGGGGTGAAACCCCAAATAACAATTCAATAAAGAATTTTGATTATTTCTGTTTTTCCCTTTCTTCTCAGTTCTCCCCCTTTCTTTCTTCTTCCCTCCTTCGCCGCCGTCAACAACCAGGAGGTCGGATCATTTTCTTTACTGTATACACCGTTCTTCGATTATCCTCCGCCACCGTAATGCCTCCCGGTTATCCATCTCAGCTGTTGAAGCTCTTTCGCCGGTCTCCCATGGCGCAAACACTTTCAGTGCCCGTAATACCATCAATCTCCGGCATCGGCAACACCAACCCTTCAAACACCTTCAATTCCGCTTCATCAATCATTCCCAAGGTGAGATATTCTTCCGATTCTCGAAATATTCATTTCTATTTCTTTGGGGTTTGCTTTTTTGGGCTCTGTTTGTAATTTTAAAATCGTGTCTTTTTGTCCACATTTTGGGAAATTTTTGGTTTTAGATTGGCGGTTTGATGAGTATAAGATGTGCTCATGTGGGAGGAGTCCAGATACCGAACAACAAAAAGCTTATGTATTCTCTGCAATATATACATGGGATTGGTCGAACTAAAGCTAAGAAGATCTTAATTGACCTTGGGATGGAGAATAAATTGACCAAGGATTTGTCTGGATACGAGCTAGCCACTCTTCGTGATGAAGTCTATAAGTACAACATTGAAGGGAACCTTAAGAGGTCCATTGACGATGCGATTATGAGGCTAAAGCAGATTCGGTCTTACAGAGGTTCTAGGCATCTTGATGGATTGCCCTGTAGAGGTCAGGGGACCAAGAACAACTGCCGTACTTTGAAGGGGAAGATCAGGGTTACTATTGCTGGGAAGAAGAAGCCACCACGCTGATTTGGTTGTTTTTTTTTCTGAAGTTTAGGTTCGATATGGTTGGAGTGTTTAGGTTCTTTTTAGTTTGCTTTGTAGGGAGCTTCAACTTCTCCAGCATTGATCTGAGCATGCCAAAATCTGTTTCTTTTTTTTGTGCGAAAGGAATATTGCATATTCTGTCAGGTTTCTAGCTGTCACTGTCTTTTAGTACAATGCATGATTTCTGGAAGACGGGCATCTTCCGCAACGCAAGCACCCATCTTTCGATCTTATATTTTAGCAGATTGATGGTATGTTGTTGCTCCAATCAAAGCTGGATGAGTGTTTTATGCAAATTTTTGCAAACTATGGATTTGAATTTGGAATATGTGATCAGTACTGCATGGCCATGTTTAACTACAGTTGTAAATGATTTTAAGCTATATAATGAATGATTCATCTTTGGTAAATGACCTTTGTTTTCGGGTCCGTTTGATACCTCTGGGAAGTAAAGAAGATGGTTACCTTCTAAATCATTTGCAATTTGCATTTTGTGGTGGTTACTCAAGTAACAATTCTTCTGCTTACTGTTTTCAACTTTCAAGTTCCCAAACTTGCTCAATATATTCTTTGTTACAAGTGGTAAACTGTTGTATTTAATACACTGGCCTCCTCTCCTTAGTGCTTCAAAAGCCATCAACAGTTAGTCAGGGTCGAAACCACCTGCAAACTGAAGTATTTCCTGGATGAACAGAGTTGATGCCCATGTGTGGATTCTTCTTCACTAGGCATTAATCGTTGCTTTTGATTTGATAGTAGCATCTTTTGCCATCAGTGCTCCGACAGTATCATTCTCTAGATCATGCAAAAACTGTTGCAGCAATTCATTGATTCGCCCTTGGGTTAGAGTCTTAATATCCCAAGTTCTTTTCTCCTTTCTCAGGAAGGGATTGGCTGCATCCAGAACGAGTTTTACAAATTATATGAGTAGCAATGGTTGGAAATCAATGATCACATATTTTTCACACAGAAGTGCTCACCCATAATTCATTCCTCAGGGAAGAAACAGTTACTATTGTTGCTCCTGAAGTTGAGAGAGTTCCAGCAGAGCTTCAGCAACCTTCTTACACTTTAACAGTTTTGTCTCCACATATATTTGCAGCCTCTTAGTCTTAGGTGGTTTTGCTCATACCCTGTACTACACTAACTGCCTTCGTGATTGCTGCAATGACAACTGGCAAGCTGCAGGATATATCTTTAACGCCCTTAGGCCATCTTTATCAACAACTCCTGAAGCGCCAATGTTGTTTACCTGTTATAACGATGTAATCAATTAGTAGAGTTAGAGCAGAGTTTTGAAGTAGTACTAGGTAGTGTTTTTTGTGCATTGATAACTTGTACCAAAATGTAGGGCTGTTCTTTTGAAGAAACCCGACCCGAACCGAATCGATCCGAACTGAATCGTTATTTTGGTTCTGTTCGGAACCGGGTCAATTTCTTTTGGATCACAAATTGTTTCGATTCGGTTCGGTTCAGTTCGGGTTAAGTTTCGAATTTAAACCAAATTGATCCGAAATGAATCATTTTGCTAGTGATGACGTCATCAAAACTGACGATGATGTCATCACGTCGGAGACGGTCACCGGCCGCGGAAAAAAATAAATTTCCGGCAAAGTCTCCGGAATCTTGGCCGGAAGTTATCGCCGACTGCGACCGGCGGTGGTGGTTAAAGGTGGTAGCGGCGGTCAACGACTTCATTATTAAAATATAATTATTTACTTTTTGGTTTTGGATTTTTTCGGTTCAATTTGGATATTCTTTTGACGCGAACAGATTCGAACCGTTCCAACTTTTAAAATCTTCGATCCGAACCGATCCGAAATTAGAATTTCGGTTCGGTTTTGGATCGGATCGGTTCATATCATTGGGCCGACCCTAACTGCGGTTCAAAAAGAGCAGCCCTACCAAAATGGGAAGTTTTCCGAATTTTCTTGCTATAAATGTGGCCAATGCATCAGCGCTTTCTGAGTCTTGAACATCAAGCAGATGGGAGACAGCATTTGATAATCCTGCTCAACGAAGAAAGAAGTGGCATAGATCCCTATTCTCTCATTTCTATTGAAAGAACGGTAACCGGCTAACTGCAGCAGTTGCAAGTTGCTGAACATTATAGAAAACTTTGAGCTAGATTAGAAGAATGGTAAAGTGGAAAGATGCTTCTCACTTGAGGACTTTCACGGATTGAATAAACTAGATGTACTGAAGTGTTTTACAAAGGAAAAAGGAAACGGGAGTCTAGATTGGGAATCTTTTGCAACTAATCTCAAGAAGATGAGTTGAAGCAGTACTTGTTTATCAAGGAAATGAAGCTTCTTATACCCAATCTGTGGCCTTAGAAGCTCAAAAATGAGGCTACCATGAAAAATTGAGATGAAACAGAATCATTTAAAAGAAAAAAGAAAAAAGAAATGAACACCAGCACATTTTTTTTCTTTTATCAGTCCTTACCATCTGAAATCATCATTTTCATTGAACTCTTTAAGACGTGACTTTTGCTTATTTGTATATTAGCACGTTTTATAGTGTTAATAAAAAAATATTTCATATTTCCTCCCAAGTTTTTATTCTTCAAGACAAAAGGTAAAAGTAATCTTCTAATCCTTGGTGAGTTATATTCTGCATTTTCTACCATATTTTCATCGCATGATCAAGAGATTCGATTAAATTTTTATCTAATTCAGTGCCAAAATCAGAATAAAAAAATAAGGGATTTAATGATTTTTACTGAGTTCAATGGCTGAGGAGTTTGAAGGAAAGATACATTTGTTGGTCCTCTCTAGCTTCTGATTTGTGTTCGTGATCACTTCTTGAACTTAGAATCGTGCATAATTTTGTAGATTGGTGTTGAAATTCTTCAGATATAATTAGTTCATTTCCTTCGTTAGTTGCGCTGTTAACGAGGGAATCTCCATACAAAGTGCTGAAATCTGCAATCTATCTTTTGTTAGTTTGCTCTTTTGGCAAGGATGCCAATCTTACTTTGATGGTGTCATTTCTCATCGACGGCAAGGTGTATGTCAGTATATATATATTCACGAAATGCTGAATCGATGATGGCTCTTCACAGTTAGCTGGAATTGATAACTGATCTCAGCTTATGTGTATGCATCACGACCTTGCGGACATTGTAATTCATAATTGTAATCTAATAGTGTTGAGTTGGGATTATCATAATCTTACCGCTCATCGGCGATTAGTGTGGCAAGTTCGCAATTATAAATGTAGAAACGTAGGAAGTAGGAACCTCTTGATGGAGCTGAAAAGGGACATAACTATCATTGAAAAGATTAACCAATGGAGGCGCTAGTGGAATCTTAACATTTAGCATGAAGGCCAAACGATGTCCTGAAGATAGCTAAAAATATTTACATAAAAAGATAAGTCCTAACACAAGATTAGATGAGTTAAATCTCCATTCGGTCTTTAGGTTATACGCAAAAACTGTACAAACAGCTGCCTAGAGCCTTGTTGAGCTCTATTTCACCAAGCTCATAGAATTTCTTTTGACTTCCCCTTGTTGAGCTCTATTTCACCAAGCTCATAGAATTTCTTTTGACTTCCAGTTCTTTCCAGAAGCTATCGAACTCTTCAAGCGTGAACCAGTCCTCTTTCATCTACCAATAGTGCATTAAAAGGAAGTGTCATTAGAGCCAGGACTTTATTTTATCACGTTCAAGTAGAGATATAGCGTATCAACTTACGAAGTAAGGGTAGCCCTTGGGACCGCAGATACTAAAATCTTGTGGAGCATTCTCTATGAACAATTTGATGTAGTACAGAACAAAAGTTCCGCACTCTTCACCATTTCTCTGCTGCGGGACCTGATACAGGAACCGTTTGCAATTTGAATCACTAGCAAACAACCTTATCACTTGGTTAAGATAAAAAAAAGGCTCAGAGCAACTTGCCTTGGGAATCAGAAAAGGGATTTTGCGAATAGACTCCATAGTTGCAGGTATCCCGTAAGTATGATAGATGTCTAATATAAACCTTATCAGGAGATAAAGTTAGAAAGTAATGGAATTGATAGGAAGTACTACCGCATACGTTTATTTTATATGAAAGATCAAAGGTAAAGTTGCATACTTTCTTATTCCAGGTTCGAGCCAGCGAGGATTTGTTTGTTGAAGAGAATCCAATAACAACACGCAAGGATATATAGGTTGAACACTTGAACCAAAGTTGCATAAAATCAAAAGACTCCAATGAGACCTATAAATAAAAATCTCAATCAACAAAAGTACAAATTTTTCTCAGAGCAACTTGCCAGGAGATATACATACCACAATACAATAGGAACCAAGATATGTTTTTTGGAGAATATGTCCTTCTTCTTAACCCAATTCAACACCTTTTCTTTCTCAGATTTCTGCGAGTACCGGAAAAACCACAAGCAATCGAGGTAGGAGAAGGATTTCCTGCTCTCTTCAGGACAAGTGTTCCATATATGCCTAAATAAGTTAATACCCGTAAATAAAGGAGTAACCTAAAAATGAAACCGTAACAGAGGAAAGTATTCAATAAACTCACTCCATAAAAATCTCAAATGTATTGGAGTCCAACTTCCCTTGTTGACAGGAGTTTACCAGACCTCTTTTCTGTCCACGAACTCGCAACCTTCGAGAAGGGGAAGGGTTTGCCGTGGTATTATGGACGATACTCACATCCGATGTGGATTTGGCTCTGCGTTGATACAGAAGATCATTTTTACTTGGGAGCTCTTGGATTGTAATGGGATTGTCGCCCTCTGGGGTGAAGAGAACAGGAAGTCTTGTAAAGTCCCAGCATGCTCCCGAAGCAATCGTAAGCTCCTTCTCTGTCAGAAAACAAAAATTAAGCCTATACCTAGTATGTGGCATTGGCTACATAAATCCTATCAGAATATCATGTTTTTATCTACACGTAATGTCTTCAGTTAACCATACATGAAATTCGACAATTTTTCATGCCGGCTGAAGGCCGAACACAACGCTGCTCATTTATTTTGGTTTCAGACTGACGATGCCATAGATATTTCACACAGATGGAATAAGAAATGAGGGGTGCGGACATGAACATTTCTAACGGGTAACCCCTCACAACTCTTGCGCAATCACACTAAACTTTGGCGACAATAGGAAAAGAAAAGGGAACAAAAAAGGGTGTCTCAACAGCTCATCAAACCTTCTAACATTTGTAATGTGTAAATCAATCATTGGAGGCCCCCATTCCCCCTCATCAGTACATTAGATTCTCAAGTCAATTCTGGTTAATTACTGGTTCATCCCTCCATAAAAAAGTTTTATCTTAAATCATTCCCCCTAGTTTACTCCATATTTAAGCTGCTTCCAGCAGTTATAGAAATTATTCTGGCTTCTAGCTGAACAAAGATGCATTAAAATAGAAACCTGATCCTTCAGTAAATTAGGAGAGTTCAACAATGGAAAAAATTCACTCAACCAGTAGCCAAGTGATTATTAAGTCAGAATCTAATGTACTGATGTAAGATAAGTGATCATTAGGTCAAAACGAATTACCACTCAACCAGTAGCTAGGTGATTATTAAGTCAAAATGAATTAACACTCAACCGGTAGCTAAGTGATCATTACCTTTGGCAGTTTCCTTTTGTCTGTCTGATCTTCGCTTGCGTGGAACGGTTTCAAACATGAAACTTATACATTCTCCATGCGACCTTTTACCCGTTTCCTGCTGAATTTCATCTGTAGTAGGTGTTGCTGAACAACGAAGGATTGACTATTAGCTGTTCGGTAACCAACAAATTCCCAACAGGAAATCCCACAGGAAATGAATAAAACAGCTTAGTAACAAACCAACAACACATTTCCTTGCCATTTCAACCACTACTTGTAGCACTTCACTTCAAATTTGTACACTAGAAGTAAAATTCATATAAATGTAAACCTAACTAGCATCTTCCATCAAATTTCCATCACTCATATCCAAGAATATTCTCTCCCCCTTCCCCAACAAAACAAAAAACAACAAACAAAAAAGTAGTCCACATAGAGTTTTGAAATTTGAACTAAGGAGTTTATATGAACCAAATTCTGAATCTTTAACTCACATAATCTTTCTACTGCTATAGTATTGAACCAGGGAAATGGGTTCTGTTCCACCCCCACCCGGGATTTACTTTTAGCCTGGTTCATTCTGTTCTTAAATAAGACCCAAAAAAAAAAAAAAAACCACAAAAAAAAGCATACAAAACCACATAACTTGTAAAAAGAAAGCTTTAAGACTCCCAGGATCAAGCTTTGAGAGCAAACAAAGATGATTAAGACATCCACATTGAAGAAAACGAAGATATAACCCAACAAACAGATAATCTTGAAAAGCAGAAGACGCTATGGGTCTTCACTACATCCAAATTTAGGCCACAATCACAGTAAATTTAACAACAGCAAAACAAAAAATCAGGCAAATACCTCTCTTGGGTGCTGCAAGACCCATTTCTACACTTAAGAAGTTGAATCCAGGAGTTAAATTTGCAGAATTGAGCAATGGAGATTGAATGGTAGGGTCACTTCCCTTCCAATCGGGGGAGGGGGAGAGAAGTCTCTGTTTCTGTCTCTGTTTTGGGTCGTTTCGCTTTTCCCCCAATAGTATCATTCAGGGGTTTTTGTCATTGTAGGAGTGTAATTTTCATTTTATTGTATGCTAATAAAAAAAATTTGGGATTTGATATTGTGTCTTACAAATTTTTGTCCAACAATAATTGTAACATGGAAAATTCTATGGTCCAATTATTGTTTTTTGACTGAACCATCCAATTAAATCTCTTACAATAAAAATCTAACATGTAATATCTTACTATATTAGAAACAAAAACCACACTTAAAGAAAAAGTAACACCATTTGCCATGTGGCATTTCCACATCATATTTTTAAAATAAATTTTTATTTCCACATCTCCTAAACTTAAAAGGCAAATGTAGTTCAAATTTATTTCCACCTCCTATTTTCGTCAAAAAAAAAAACCACGGGTTCATAAAGAACCCAAATGCTCATCTCCATCGCCACGACAATCGACTCCTTAATCAATCCCTTCTCCACAATTAAAAAAAAAAAATTCCTCATCAATCATCAATTGAGAATATATGGTGAAATATACTCCTTTCCTATTAGCATGTTCAATCTTTTCATTAGTGATGGTCAACTACATCCTAATCGGATAAAATTTTAACTTCAAAAAATATTCTCTTTACCTTTTTATATAAACACAAAGGAAAAAAAAATTCTCATTGATCTTGCTTCGGCCGTTGTGGTGGTGCCATTACAGGTTTTAAAATTTAAATGATTTTATTTCCACAGATAATTGGTTTGGCTTTTATTATTTTTTATTTTTCCCGTTCAAGAATAGTATTATTACTATTATTTTTATCCGTCCATCCGTTACAGCTACCGGAGCCGTTGTCAGGTAGTATGATGTGATTTCTTATTTGGTTAGTTAGTCTAGAATTTTTGTATGATTTTAGTTATGTTTGGATTGAATTGATTGATTGGGTTTTTGTTACAAAGTGTGGTTTTTTAAATTTATTTTTTATGTTTCATTCAATTAGAGTGGTTTTCTTTTTTTAATTATGGAGTCTCAGGTTTTTTTTCGTATATAGCCAGTTATGAAGTGTGTTTTTTCTTTGTTTAATTGCTTTTGATTTTGTTTCATACTCCCAGTTGACCAATTATTATTATTATTATTATTTTATTTACAAATGAAGCACGTTTCTTTTTTGTGTTCGGGGTTTCAAGAATATACTTTTTTGGATTTGGTTTTTGGACTTTTTTTAGTTTCTCATCATATAAATAGTTCAGGTCGCTTCTTTTAACTAATTTATGGGGAAGCCTTTTATGAATTTGAGGTGGAGAGGGAAGGAATGATGTTTCTACATTTATTTGTGTTTTTATACATCATTTTTACCTACAGAAAATTTTTTTTTCAAATTTTAATGGGCTATCTTTTACTTTTTTTTTTATTTCCCATGGTGAGGTGAGTTCTTTTTTGCTATATGAAACCTATGTAAATTTACATTATTTTCATTCTCATATTTGTGATCAACCAGTTTCAACAATTAATCAGTATCAAAATCATATTTTTGATATTTTACTACCTATAAACTTTTGGAAGAAATAGTTCTAACAATTAAGCATATACCCTTTGGAGGAAGCTAACTACAAGGCTATTATAAATCTCCAAAACTAAGTATTGATTTGGCCCAACTAATGGAGAACATCAATAAATTATCTTACTAATATTTAAACTTATTAGGATGCTTTTATATTTTTTCTAGCATTTACTTCAAGACATATATTTGATCAAGTTTATTTATATTTAAGAAGTAACACTTATAAAACATTTCTAAAATCTTCAAACATTTCTAAAACGTACCGGGCCAAATACAATTTATTTTTATGCCAAATACAAACATCACAATTATAAAACATTTCTAAAATTATTCAAATATTTCTAAAATATATCAGGTCAAATACAAAATTTTTTTTTTCCAGATACAAATATTTCTAAAATCTACAGATATATTGGACCAGGGTTGCGTATTGCGCGATCAGACATCACTAGTATCATTATAGGCCGAGAAGTACTATAATAAATCCATATTTCTACTTTACCTATTAATCCAAGTTAAAAACAAAATAAAGTAGATTGAAATACTGTAGTGAAAAAATAATCGTCTTTATCCGAAGAGACCGAAATCCACAAAACCACGACCATCAATAATAATCAACTCTTTCCTCTAGCTCACAAATCTCCTTTCTCATTTTCTTTTTTCCTTGAATACAAATATTAAGCAACTTTCAAAAATTCTCTTTCCTTGAGAAATGAATAAATAATTTTGGCTTTTGATACTGGAGCAACAAATCAAGTAGGTCTCTTTGTTAATTTCTCTAATCAATCAAAAAAAAATAAAATTTCTCAAGCAATTTTTCTATTCTGATCAACAAACAAATTTTAATTCAACAATAAATTGTTCTCCTCATCTCTCCTTATAAGATTTTGTCGCTACCATCTGGTCTCATACTTGTTTACCCATGTCTAAAAATTATATTAGACCATATTAAATTAAAAAGTAATAAACTCCCTGTTTGATTTTTAACACATATTTCTCACTAAAATCATTAATTATGTCTATATATTGATATTCATGGTTTAGAAAAAGCATCCTATAACAATAGTTTTAATTGGAAGAAGAATTCAACAGGAAGAAAAATTATAGTTTATAATAATCTTTCATAAAAAAAAATAAAAATTCATCACAATGAATTATATAGAAGAATAAGAAAACTGATTCCTAAAGCTTTTATTAGCACTAATCATGAGATATCGAACCAAATTTCTTCTAGGTTTTGGGGATATATTTATGAATAGTGATGGAATTGCAACTCATGAGACACTGAAATATAGTAATAGATGAACTAAGAGTTCTTCAACACCCTTTTGCTTGGATTTTTTTTTTTTTTTGTGAGGTGGAATTTGATTGTTCGCTTTTGGTGACCGGAGCAAGTAGCATAATGAATACCAATGGTCAATTAATTTTGCTTCATGTAAATTATGAGATTGAAAAATATCGACAAATATAAGCATCTTTTTTAGGTTTTTTTCCCGTTGGCTATGATTATGGAGGAAAAAATGGGATAAGAAAGAGAGAAAGAAGGAACAAAAATGACCTGCAAAACCAGTTGCCCCTTTATATAAATTATTCAGTGTATTTAGGTGTTACTTAGGTTCATGTAACCTACTTTTAATCCTAAGGGTGATTATTGTTTCTTTATCATCCAATGGTCATTTTAGTTGACTGAACCATTTAGTCGACTGGACTGTAGTTACTCCCTTATAACATATAGTTGTAAGTTTGTCAACACAAAAAGGTTAATTGGTAAACATGGTTTTAAGTACTCGCTTGTTAGTATTCTTCATCCCATGTCCAATTTAACAGCCTATTCGAAAAGTATAATATAAGAAAGAAAATGATTCTTCGTGTCAAAATCATTGTCTAGTTTGGAATTTCACTTTTAATATAAATTATATTTAAAATGAACTCCAAACTGGACAATTCAAAAGAGTAAAACTGGTAATTTTAGATAGAGTGTATAATATAAAAAAAGAATAAAAAATGAGACGGGGAGTGACAAATAAATTAGCATTCCATTCTTCCATCTTTTAATAATCACCATGAATACTAATTGTTTGAGTATTGACAGCGAAGCCCATTTTGGACTTGATGTTGGAGTTATTTTCAATGTATTGTAGGGATACAATTAATATGTTGTACCTATTAGGTGTTTTCAATATATAGTAGAGACACAACTAATAGGTTATGCTTATGGACTCCATATGAAAAGACATTAACGAAAAGTTATGTCTAGGACTATAACCAAGGGTTACGTTTAATCCTCAAGAGTTTCCTCTAACTCTATAAATATGGATCATTTAGATACTTTTAGTGTACACTTAGAATAAGGGAATTGTATTTCATTCATATGTCGTTATGTACAATATACAGACTATATATAGACAATAACAAACCCTAAACAAGAACACTATAGTAAATATATTAAGTATTACAATACGCCCCCTCAAACTGACGGCGGAAAAGAGAGAAGCCGAAGTTTGTCCCGGAATCGAAAGAATAACTCCTTGGACAAGGGTTTGGTTAGAATATCAGTAAGCTGATCAGCAGCAGAGACAGAGTTGACCGAAACAAACTTTCGCCGAACATGATCTCGAACAAAGTGAAAATCAACCTCAACATGTCTGGTACGAGCATGAAACACGGGATTGGCAGCAAGGAAAAATGCACCACTGTTGTCACACCAAATAGAGGGAGGGCGATGTAATGAAACTCCTAACTCGGACAACAGATGACACATCCAATGCAGTTCAACACAGACATTAGCAACCGTACGAAACTTAGCCTCAGTAGACGAGCGAGCCACAGTGGGTTGCTTCCAAGATGCCCAGGCAATGAGATTAGGGCCCAAATAAATGAGAAAACCAGTAGTAGAATGACGATCATCTGGACAACCAGCCCAGTTAGCATCACTAAAGGCAGTAAGAGTGCCCAAATCTGTAGGATGCAAAACTAAACAGAAATCAACGGTACCACGAAGATAGCGAAGAACCCGTTTGAGAGCCTGAAAATGAGAAGTGCGAGGCTGATGCGTGAACTGAAGCTTATTAACCGCAAAGGAGATATCTGGACGAGTGAGAGTGGTATACTGTAAACTGCCACAAAGTCGGCGATAAGTAGTCGCATCATCAGGAGACAACAGAGTACCATCCAAACGGGACAACACAACATTATCCTGCAAAGGAGTGGAAATAGGTTTGCAAGTATGCATATTTGCAAGTCGTAGTAAATCAGTGACATACTTGCACTGAGAGAGGAGCAAACCCTTGGAAGTACGAAGAACCTCGACCCCAAGAAAGTAACTCAATGGACCTAAATCCCGAAAAGAAAACTCCTTAGCAAGACAAGAGATAAAATGTTAGACTAGACCAGAAGTGCTGCCTGTAAGAATAATGTCATCCACATAGACCAGCAGAAAACACAACTGAGACCCACGGCGATAAACAAAGAGGGAGGGATCACATTGAGACTC